AAATCTTAATGTATTTTATATATCATTAAAATGTTTATATTGATTGTTTCATTTTTAAAATTATGATAAAGAATAACATATCATTCTTTTACTTATATTATTGATACTTTAAACGAGCATTTTCTTTTTAAAAAATCGATCAAATGCATATTGCTATTTTTCTCATAGCGACAAGTCTAGTGTTGATGAGACATGGAAGAACTCTGATGAAGGAATAGACACGCTAAAAACCAATGAGGTAGAGGATGCTAAAAACGATAACAGTTACAAGGACTTGGCGATCATCCTCAATGACTATGATCAGTCTGTTGGTATAGATAATCCAGGAAATGATATTAAGGTCCATGATAATAAGGATGCTGAAGATTTGGAAGTAACTGATGTCTGATACATTATGAAGTTTATGATAGACAAGATAAAAATTTAATTAAAATTGCTCTCTTTTTATATCTCAATTTGTCATTAGCATTCAATGATAAAAATATTTCATTTGCCAATTAGTCAATTTGTCATTATATTATTTGCCTTAGATTGTCTTATTTTATTTTATTTTAATTTACATTTGACAGCGGGGAGCCCGCCACTTACAGAATGGAATACATAAAACACAAGGGAAAACATCAAAAACACTTACTCTAGGCATGTCTTAATTTTACTTCAAAATATTCAAACTATTAAAAAACATGTCAGTGGTCGAATCTAATTGAATAAATGAAAAAAAAAATGATTATGAAAATGTCTGTAAGCCATTCAGAACTTTTTTTTTTTTATATTTGGTTCGTTGAAAGTTGATAAACAGTTTCGTCCTTGAGCAGTTGAATTTTTTGATAAAAATTAGAAAGTTTTTTTTTTCATGTTTTTCCGCTGTCGCTATAATTTTAAAAAAGCATTCCTACAATAAGTCCTAATACAAACTTTCAACATTTTCTTTTCTGTAATTCATTATTTTTCAAGTTTTTCTAATTATTTTCAAATATTTTTTTATCGCTTAGTGTAAGCAAGGCTTGCTTTTTTGACGATAATCGAACAGCCACGGTATAACAGCTCGAAAAATTTCTATTTTGATTAGCGGCATGCCAACTTGTTTTGTTTTTTGTACTGCGATTATATTAACCAAACACTGCAAAACTTGGGTAGACCCACTGTGTCATGCTATTTCTTTAGATTAGCTAAGTTAATTTTCATAGCCTACAAGTTGACTAGTATTATTATAAATTAAAAGAAAATGATAAGAAATTTATAATAATTTGCGATTTTAATGTGTACGCTTAATTACTGAAACTTAAGCAACAAAAAAGCATATTTTAGACTGAAATTTAGATTAAAAGATACCGGTACTAGAGCACGACATGACATAGAGATATAATAAGAATATTTAATAGCTCTATGCAACATGATCATGGCTTTCGTTTGGTGGTGCTGTTTTTGAGACCGAATATCTTTCCACTAACGTGCGGTGCAATAAGGTAAATTTATTTTTGCCAATAAAATCTGGTCGTAGGCGTACAGTAACCTACTAGAAATATTCCATATTACCAAAAAATTATAGTAAATGCGAATTGCAAATCATTTCTTACGGTTAAACCTGAAGGTGACATAAGATTATAGCCCTGGATTTATAATCACGTTCATTTAGGTAACTCAAAATTGTACGAAATCGATTGAAAGGAAATGTCTACATTATGTAATCTATTCATGAAAAGTTTGCAAAACAATACTTTTAACAACATTGTCATTGTCGAACATTTCCTTTTTACTATGATTCCTAGCCCACTACAAACGACCTATAAGAAGACCTCAAATTATACGTATATTTTCAGTTTAATTTATCTACATTTTCAGTTTAATCTAGGTTAATTTTTATATGTTTTTATTTAATTTATTATTTAGTTTTATTAAATATTATTTTTTAAATTCAGCTACTCCTTAAATATGTTTATGAAGAGGCTATCAAACCAATTTAACATCCTCACTACAAGTAATTAAAATTACCTCGTCATTATTCCCAAGTCAACAACAAAAAATGATCGACTCCAATTCGGATTGATTATGAAATGTGAATCCAGTTTTTATAAATAAATCACCTTTTTAATACATTTAAATTTAAATTCAAGAAAGTTTTGTTTTAATTTGTTATGATTTTTTATATAGCTCTTTTTAAAGTGTTCTGTAATTATGAAAAAGAATGGTAGTATTAAACAGGCTTAGTTAAAAAATCTCCAATTATGTTACCATGTTTTACTATAATTTGTTTTAAAAAAGCTTTGCCAAATATAATATACACTGATGTAAAATACAGTATATTCACATTCAATATAATCCATATTTATTCTTTCCTCCGCTTGAAGAGGATATGTTATGAAGATTCAAGTATATTTAACTATTAGTCTATATAAGCCTACAGAAATTACGTCCAGAAAAAACAAAAACAAAAAAAAAAACCTAAGATGTGGTAAATTACTATGGACTATCATGCTTGTATTTTCTATTTTTTAATTTCCATATCATTTGTGTTATTATTTCTGATGTAGGCTTAACTTTGGTTATTTTGTTCGTTGTGTGAAATAAATAAAAAAAGGAAATAAACATAGATATCTTTTGTTGATTTTTTGTTAAATTATGTTTACCTTAGCCATAGAGTGCTTATTCATTTAGTACATCATTGGAGCTGTCTCTTATACACATCTAGATGTGTATAAGAGACAGTATATATATACATATATATACACATATATAATCAAGGTGATCTTTTGGCGATAGTGATAATTAACTAATAACGAGGAGACAAAAGTAAGGCTTTCAACGCGGTGATGACAAAACTGAACAATAGAGACTGGAAACTGACTACCGACCGTCCATTCCGATGTTAGTAGCAAACTCAATCAAGGGCATAGTGTCTAAAAGCAATAATGAGTAATTCTATTTTGTATTTCCGTGAATAATTACACATTATTTTTTTAATAATTTAAAATTAATTATTTCACAATATTTGTAGGCCTACCCCTAAAATGTGTACAATCTTAATAAACAGTCGAGCCCTTCTTTGTGGCACCCATATACAGACATTTTCTTTTACACTCAGTTTGCTAACAGCCAATGGGATAACATAATAATCTGTTTTGAACACGTTTTTGTGGTGTATTGAACTTCATAGTAGTTTTAAAAAATCATGAGGTATTTTTAGAATGCAAACTTATATATAGGACTCTTGTCGGTTTAATTTGATTGTTGCTGGCTATATAAGTAAATTTTAAAAAGAAAAAGAATAAATTGCCAAGATGAATTACCAATTGTCCAAAACCCTGGCTCTGAGGAAGTATCGGTTTTCTTTCGCATAATGCTTATGTAAGAAGACACTTAAGTCTGTCCCTAGTCCCAATTTTTTCCCCATTATGTTTTAGTGCTTAATGAAAGAATTATTGTTTATAGTTTATATATACGCCTATTAGATTTAGGTGTAAGTATATACAGAATACAGAAACTTTATTAGTCCAAAAAAGGAAATTTGTTTTGTTGACAAGCTCAAAACTACAAAATCACAAAAGTCAAAAACAGAATCAAGTTTTACAAAAACAAGTAGAATTAATTTAAGATTAAAATATATTACCTAAAAGCGTACTATTTTTGCCACAGCTGTTATACATCAGGAACTGATAATATAGCCATATATATTTCAGTTCCTGATGTATAACAGCTGTGGCAAAAATAGTAGTCCGTTTGAAATAATTCTCCTACTACTATATACTAATTATGGAACCTGGTAATATTAAAAATAAAAGATTACGTAGTCCCTTTTGTCACGTGATGGGTTCTTATTGATAGAAGCCTAGGCCCATAGTATGATTTTGTGCATTCATTATGAAGTTGACGATCCAAGCCAGGGTACGATCAGTATTAATTAGTGTATTGTCGGACTCATTAGAATTCTTTTAAGTCTGCTAATTTAATTAATTGTAGATGATTAGTTATTTGTTATAGGTCTATTGTTATTTAATAATGTCAAAAGAACCGTTTTAGGTTGCGATTGAAATTATAATTGCGCAGAGAGTGAGAAAACAAAACATGAAACATATCGTCACCATCTTTACGTTATACGTAAAATTCAGCCGTCGACGTTCGGTGTATGTTACCGGTATGGTATTTATATATTAAGGACAAGACAGTGTAAGTCGTAGGCCTATAGGTATGTAGGACTAGAACCACTTCTCCCGCCTAAAAAAAAATGTTATTTAATAAAACAAGGAATAAGGTGTTGTATGTGCGCTGTTTATTATTAATTCATTCGTTGAGTACTCTTGGTTTACTCATACTATGCAAATTCCTGTAGGAAAAAAAGTCATTGATAATCATATATATAACGCTTAAAATGAGAATCCCCTAATCAGGTTTGGTGACGGCAACATGAATGGTGATGCCACCAAAACTGATACTTATCAGATCTTATATATAATCGGGTGCTCTGCATACAGGTCCGTATAAACATGGAAGTATACAATCAATTTTATTTTATACCTCCACTGCTTTAAGTTATATGATTACATTATCCCTCTCTGATCGAGAACTGCTCTGATCTCGTTGTTTCCCTTAAATTAAAATCCGTAAACTCTGCTTATTGGGCCTCTTCAACACAATTCCTAAGGTTTACATCCTGTGAAAGCACCTTATTTACTTATTACATATTCGGCACAATTAACAATCAGAAAATGGCCAGAGGGGTGCTAAGGGGACACCATGGGCTGAGAGCCCAACCCATGATGTGAGTATCCTCCAAACCCCTGGCCAAAAACGAACAATAACTAACAAAACAGCAAAGACGACACATCGGATTAAAATAGCCAATAAAAAGATTGATAAAATAGATAAAAAAATAACAGACAAAAGTTTAAAAAATGGGTTTACAGAAATTCATTTTGCAAACCGCACGGTTAAAATCGGGGTTAAAATACCAATAAGGTTTTTTTATTTCTCACGACCTATTTTTGTAAACGTTTGACCTTTAAAAATATGCTTTTTTTCTATTATAAATGTTATTGCCAAACCAACATTTTTTTCGTTGAGAAATTAATAAATTAGGCCTATTTATCATCTTCTAATTTTATTAAACAATAACAGTTCTTAATTCTCTGAGTGTTGATCTCCCATGATTTCAAATTTGTATGCGATTCACTTCCTTTAATTGATCTAGGCCTATTTGTTGCCCTAATTCAAATCTGTGAAGGCTACTTAATATCAAGCCTCTGCAACACAATTTCTGTCTTTAAATCATATGAAAGCATTTTTTCTTCTCACGACGTATTTTTTCTAGACTTTCAAATGTGCGAGGTGGGCTACGACCTAGACCTTCAAAAATATCCTTCTTTAATTAGGCCTTATTTCCCAACAAAATACTGTTTTTGTTGAGGAATTGATATATTAGGCCTGTTTTATCATCTTCTAATTTTATATGTATTCTATACAATAAAAGTTCATTCTCTGAGTGTTTGATAAGCCTGTTTTTTCTTTACTTTTTATTGAGTAATTGATAAATTAGGCCGATTTTATCATCTTCTGATTTTATTAGGCCTATGCAATAAACGTTCATTCTCGTAAATGTTTGCATATATGCAAACACTTACATATATGCATATGTAGTATGGCATATATGCCATATTTGTTTTTTCTTTCCTCAGTAATATTATGATTTGTATTATATTTTTATTTTTAGGTTCATGAAAGTCTATTTCCTGCGGGGGTTGGTAAATGTGCCTATACATCAAGAAGGGAGTCAAGCAATGAGTTGAAACATTAAAGTGTGAAAGCATGGACTTATTAATAGGTCTATGGTGAAAGGCATCAGTTAGATAAATCGGAGGAAAGAAAAGCAGGATGGGCGTAAATAGTATTAGATAGTGAATAAACAACGGGGACAAGAGGTGTTAATATTGAATCCCACTGCATTATTTCATACATGCAATATGTGTGAACAAAATCTAGATTTCAAAAGACGGGATGGCAATTGAATAAATAAACAACGAAGACAAGAAGTGAATAAATTATAAGCCCAGAAGAAATTAATTACTAATAGATTCGGAGATTCAGATTCAGTTTGTTCTTTATTGTTATAACGATGTCATGAGATTTGTTTCCCTTGTTACATATGAGTAGAAAATAAAAAAATATAATATTAAAACCCTAGACCTAAGTCCTCAATGAAAAAGTAAAGAAAAAACAAATAAGGCTTATCAAACACTGAGAGAATGAACTTTTATTGTATAAAATACATATAAAATTAGAAGATGATAAAATAGGCCTCAGTTATCAATTCCTCAACGAAAAAGTATTATTTTATATCTAACATGTTTTAATATTATAATAATTCCTAATGGAGTGTTTATTTCATACCTAAATATAATAATGTGATTTACAGTACCAGTGTTTATTGCGTACCGCATTGCAATAGATTTGCACGATTAAAACTTTTAATTACAATACTCCTCATTTGAGCATGGAGGAAATTTATTTCCTCCATGATTTGAGGAACCTCTAATCAGATTCCTATACAGTACCGGTAATGACATTTTCTCGCAAAACGATGGGAAATAATTATTTCTTTTAACTCAGTGATGGCCTACCTGTATTTGGGGGCACCTTATTAAGGGGCTGGATACATTTCCTAGGTATGCTAAACGGTAAATTCAATCCAACCCCAATTAGGGGGAACTTACCTTATGACTCAAAACAATGCGTCTTCGAATGACATTCGAAATTTAACGTTTAAACGGATTTTTGTTTCTATCTATGTCAAGTCTTAATTACTGTCGAGTTGGTCTTTATTTCCAATGTGTATTAACACTCCTTAAATCAATCTTGTCAATTTGTGTCTTTGCTGGGACTAATTTCAATTGAACGTAGGCCTACTTTCATTCCGTACCTTATGCGATTTCAATCCATAAACATCCTGTATTTCGATTTTTATCTTACATCCTAAATATTTCTTTATTTATACACTTGAATCACGAAGTAATAAATTCGTTATTTTAATTTCATTTATATTGATTTTGTATCAATATATTTTATTCAATTCAATTGAAAATTATTTTATTCCAAATCAAATAACGTATCACAATACAATTCAATTGCATCAAATGAAAAGGAATATTACAACCACAAACAAGCTTTAAAACCGTAGTGCCATTTTGAGAAGAAAAATGAATCAAGTGAAAAATAATAATTAAATACATTAATCAATCAATAAAATAATTAGTCAAATAACTGTCTAATCATTTAAGCAAATTATTAACTAATCAATCATTCATTAAATAAATAAATGCATAAAATCAAATCAAATCAAATCAAATCAAAAATGCTTTTATTTTCCATACAATAAAGTAATACAATATACAAACGAATGCAAACGAATGAAACAAATACATTGTATGGAAGGAGGCTACAGTGAGTTCAACAAGAGCTTTAAGACGAGCCACCTTTAAAAAAAAAAGTTGGAAAAATGACCGATACTAGGCCTATATTGTTTAGTTTTATCAGAACTAATAAATTTTTTTTAAATGAAATTATAATAATAATACAACAAAATCAATGTCATAAAATAAATATATAATAATAAATTATTTGCATTGATTTTTTAAATTTCAAAGTTTGTTCAACTAACTTTTAAGGCATAGGTCAATTATACTATATGGTTATATAGCCTAATCTGACATTTCTGCTTAGTCTCCCCTAATGGTGTCCCCTAATAGGCTTACCCCTAATTAGAAGTCATCCAGTATTAAGGCTACATATATTTCTGTAATTCAAAATGTGTGTATCCTACACTGAATAGGGGTTGTGCTGTAGGAAATAATTAGCCATAAGCACCTATTAGGCTATGGCGTTCACATGCCTAGCTATTTAAACATCTCATCGCCACTCACGAATCCCGAAATTCTTATGAAGTTGACAATCCAAGCCAGGTACGATCAGCAAACTAATGAGTGTAATTGCTGAACTTAATTGAATGCTTTTACGTCTGCTAATTCAATTAATTGTAGATGATCAGCAATTTTGTGATTACACGTGATCATAAGCCAAACGCGATTGTGTGACAGCTCTGCCGTCGATCGAATATATGCGAGTTTGGCCATAGAAAAAATAGAACAATGTTCTATTTTCTCTATGGTTTGGCTGACGAGAAAATTAAATTAATTCTATCATTTATTACAGAAATAAAATCTATACAACATGTATACACACAAAAAAGTGTAATGAATAAATAATGATTAATTACTTTGTAAATATAAAATAATATTTCTATTTTGTATTTGTGTAATAATAAAAATAATAATAAAACAATTGTAAATATGTAATAATTTTACAGTTATTCCGGTTTTGTGATGTTATTAAGTTGATATCAAATAAATCAAATCAACTAAACCTTAAAAGTCTTAGTTTTAGGTCAAACACTAATAGTAGCCAAGCAAATGATTGTGTGTAGGCTCTATTAATAAATTGTGTTTATGCCTATACCTAAAATAGGTCTTTTCTGAGAGATCACCCTTTAATAAATAAAAAAACTTTGTGGCCCAAAGCCGCAGTTCTCATTAGGCCTACGACAATATGGTAGAACGCATAGGAACTCATGACATTCGCATAGACTCATACATTTTTCTCTCGATACTTCCTTTTACTCTTGTCTTAGCATTTTTGCAAATAAAATCATAACTAAAATTAGGCCTATTATTTGCTCGACGAAGACTAGCAGCTGATACCAGTCGAATTGTCTTAAATAATTTCGCTTATTGTTAAATGCTTCAGAAAGAAAGAAATTAGAAAGTATAATTCAAAATCTTTTCCCAATATTTTAGGCCTAATAGTGAAAGGGGTGCGCATCTATTTGACAGTCGGGAGAATGTAAATTAATTTAATTTAAATTTAGGTTTATTTTTACTATATGTTTATTATCACGATTTTGTTGCTTATCATTGACGAATTATTTATTGTCTTCTAATTATCTTTTTATCTAATTAAACAAAAATAATTTATGTTAATCGCATATTTTGTTATTAAAACCTTAACCAAAATCTTCATGATTTTATCTTAAAGTTAAAATACTACAAAATAACTTTCTGTATGGACAATTTACAAGTTAATTCATATTTCAATATTATTTTTATATTATAAGTTTATGTCATATATTTTTTTGAGTGAGGGGTGTGGGGTTTATAGAGATGTCAACTAGATTCTAGAAACAATAAGTGTGAAAAAATAGTCATGAATTATAGATGTTAGTTAGAAAATGAATAAACAGTCTAGGTGAGGGGTGTACATTATATTAGATCTTGTATTATTTTACACATACAATAGGTGTGAAAAGTCTGGAGTTGACTTGATGGGAGGGTAAAAAAGAAATAAACAACGAGGACGGGGTACATAAATTATAAGCCTAAATGAAATAAATTATTATTACAAAGATTCTAGAAACAATAAGTGTGAAGCAAATAGTCATGAATAGATAGTGTTTAGAAAATGAATAAACAGTCGAGATATTAGGTGTAAATATCGGATCATGTATTATTTCACACACACAGTAGGTGTGAAAAATATAGAATTCACTAGATGGGATGGTAAAAAAACAAATAAACAACGGGACAGGGGTGCATAAATTACGGTATATGCCTAGAAGAAATAAATTATTACAGACATATTTAATTATAGAACCATCATACATAATTTTCATATAGGCATATTCGTAATTAAAAGACTTGTCTGTCTTTTATCGAGTTAATTGTGGTTATTGCGTATACTGTATACATAACAGTAAATGAAAGAGAGTATAAATGAGGAGATAAATAAATTATATTTCATTTCATTTTCATTTAATTTATTTTCATCTTGTTTATATACAAAATACAATAAAATATACAAAAGGGTAGTCTCATGTTTCCCCCAAGAGCCGGTTGGATTGCAAAAATGTGAAAAGAAATACTGTCTAACTGGCTCTCCAAGCATACGCATTTTCATCTTAAAATTTAAGTTAACCTAATAATTCTTAAGCAATATTCATCAGAAACTGCAGACTTCCAGAATATATGTTGTAGGCCTATATATATATGTATATATATATATATATATATAATTTTGAAGGAAGTTAGCCGTTAACACTGTTGAATAAATATAATATAAATCATCAAAGGTACATACCGTATACAGTGTTAAATAAGGACATAAATATATATATATATATCTATATATATATATTATATATATATATATATATATATAGTACATAATCATATAGGCTATATATATAGGCCTATGTATATATATATATATACAGTATATAGATGGATAGATAGATTTTAAAATTTATATAGCGCCGGTTATTGAAGTTGGCACTAGCGCTTTACAATGAATTACAAAATAAAGAGCAAAAAACAATAAAGTAATAAAATATAAAAATAAATAATAATAAAATAATAATAATACTAATAAAATAATAATAATAAAAATAATGGTAATGAAGTAATGATAATAAAAATAAAATGTACATATAAATATATACATACACATACACAAGATTCCGTATAGTTCTGCAGCATCTATTTTTTTTATTCATGTTCTTTTTTTCTTCGGTGGCTATGTTTAGCCGTGTAATAGTAACAATATGTTTTCATCACTTTAGTTTTATTCCCCCTTTATTTGTCTATGAGAAACTAGTCAGTTATAGGCCCATTAAAGCAAAGTCTAGAAATTAGGCCTGCATAAATAAATATAATTTTCCATGTTATGGGATAATGAATGTTAGAACTTTGAATAGTTTTCATCATTTCAGTTTGTATTCCTTCTTTATGTTATTGTCTATGTGAAACTAACAAGTTATAGGCCTATAAGCAAATTCTAGAAATTAGGCATACATAAATAAATATAATGTACCGGTACCAAGTTAGGGGATAATAAAAGTTGGAGCCGTACTGTTAGTCAGTAACATGAAATACAAACAAAATAAGTACAGTATAACAATTCTTTTGACTAACAAAATGTACCGGTATTGAGACACAAGCTTATCTAGCTTCATAGAGTGAATAACCCACGATCAAACTGTTCAAGACTATAATAGAGTTTAGAAACAAATAACGAGGCTGGCAACGATAGGATACCGGTACATTGGTAGGATGTACCGTATCCATCGATAGGATATACAACGTCATAAAAATAATGATTGTTTTACTGTTTACACACTGCAACCATCATCGATGCAACGTTTTTTTCTAGTTTGTACTAAGAGGAGATTTGAATACAGAAGACTGATCTTCTGATACTACTATTATCACCGTACAAAATAGCTGATTTCTGATTAATTGTTAATATGTTGCTGAACTAAGACTTTAAGATGGTCTTTTCAAAAAATTAGCCACGCAAACTGTCGGACTCCCAAAGAAAGGTTCTCTAACAAAAGGCCAATATTGTCCAATTGTACCCATCGCTTAAGCGGACCCTTGTAGCTTATCTAAGGGTAGTTCGGTACGCACGCTTCCTCAAAAGGTGCCAATGCCTTATTCGCGCGCCTTTATCCCCGTTGACGTATCCAAACCTGGGGCTTTGTCATTGTTAAGTGGATTAACCGTCGGTCGGCGGCTTTAATGTAGCGTTGTATTGTTTAGCATTTATTTGTTTGCCGTTTACCTCCTATTAGCGAGTCCCTTTAAAAGTCGTGCTTCCAGTAGGTCCATCATCATTCCAATCTGATTAGCAAAGAAGAAACATCTCTAGTAAAATAATTTGTCTGTCGATACTTATATAATTTGCGTCAACCTGTTTGCTTTCACTTTCGATTTGCCTTGGATACATATTTCCGCTGCGTAGTTTGCGAATTGTACTATTTTGTTATTGCTGTATTGATTCGCTATGAATTTCAGGAGATTTTTTCTGTTACTTCTTGGATTTTTATCCATTGACGGTACCTCTGGATGGTAAGTACACTTTGCTCTTTCTAGATTTGTTTACATCCTAATTCTTAATCGTCATAAAGTTTTAGATATTAGAACAAATATTATGTTAGCCATGGTTTATCAATATTTGTATCACTATTTATCATTTTAATTAACAAGTTAGTTAACTGTTTGGACTATTTGTTTAAAAATTATTCAATGCCGCTAGTAGTTGCAATGATTTACCTGTTTGTTTATTAAATTTTACAATACAAATCCAAAACGGTTCTTCTCAGAACCAAGTACCATCCGTAATTGAGATGGTATTCATTGAGATTTGTAGCATATACCACATGGTCTACCGACAATTTAATTAAAAATACTAAATTTGTGTTTATGAATTTTATAATTTTTTAAAGTTATGTTTCAAATTCTAACAATCGGTTACTAAACCCACCAATTAATTACGAATTCAGAATGTTTATTAATGAACTTTTATCTTTTTTCTTTCTTATAGGATGAGTAATCTGCTGATGACTGGGCCCAAGGTATGTACTTTAACATTTAATTTTATTATATTTATATAAAAAAAAACATCCTGTGGGGTTGGCTGGTTTTCGGATGGAAGCACGGCACGTGATAAACCGTACGGACAACACTATCTTATGTATTTTGTTTCGGGAATTATGGGGATATTACCGTACTATATTATTTATAATTTGACAATCTATTCGATAATAATAACGTGTATTTTTTTTTTCGTAGGCTCTTCTGTCGTACTACCCCAGTGTGGCTGCTGGCGCCACGAACGCGTTGCTAGAGTGTCAGCGCCAGTTTAAGTGGGATAAATGGAACTGCCCAGAGAGCTCGATCGTCAAGTTCGCCCGTAATGAATTACCACGTAAGTTGTATTTTCCCTTTTTCTTTATAGTATAATAGGTAAACGTCCACCCTTTTGTTCTTACTGGATATATGACCACTCTTTTATCCTATTTGTACATTCACCCGAAGAAGACCACTGCGTGGTCGAAAGCTTGTGATTTAATAAATTTGTTAGTCTGAAAAGTGCTGTTTGTCCTTCATTTATTATTTTTAGTTATCATTTCATCTTATATAATGTATTTACCGCTGTGGTAAATGTTATTTTATGTGAATAACCAATTATGGTAGATTTTCATATTCCAATCATAGCTTAAAAACGGATAGTTCTACATTCTTGCATACTGTATTTTAAGATTTTTTAAATATACAGTTTTCGTTCTATAAATGGTTTAATATTTGCCATTAAAAAGGGACGGTTTAATCAGCCAGCTATTTAGCGCCAATTAGGTCAGACCTATTATAAGCCTACATCGTTTGACTTGCCTTTGCAAATAAATAACCGTATTATTTAGAGAAATTAATATTTATTTAATTGTGATTCGTCATTTTATTTCTGAATATATAAAGTATATATATATATGTATGTATATATATATGTATATATATATATGAACATTGAATTTCTGTGTTTGGTTTATTGTGTTGGATGTAGGTCTAGATGTGTATAAGAGACAGATGTGGATGCGACGACAGTTATATTGGAAGACAAGGTAAGACAAATGGATTATAATATGATTAATTTGGGATAGTACATTATATTTGTCTGTATTGAAATTACTATTATTGTATTCATTTTGGTTATTGTATTAATTTTGTTATCTTAATTAGGCCCCATAATACCGTTTCATACCGTACTATATGCTATACTAAATAGGCCTATAGCCATTCAAAGTTATTATTTAACCAATCCGACTACTGTTTCTACTAATTTTATATATTTATCATATTGATACGCAGTAATTGTTAAAAATATTAGTATAATACTTGTATTATATATGTAATAAGCATAGGCCTATGTACAAAATGCTTATTAAACGTATTATTATCATTGTCTATAGGAGGTGATGAATGGACCTGGGGCGGTTGCAGTGATAATGTTGATTTTGGTGACCGTATTGCACGACAATTTGTTGACGCATTAGAGACGGGGAGCGACGCAAGAGCCGCAATGAACCTGCATAACAGTGAAGCTGGAAGAAGGGTGAGTACTAGATGTGAATCTTTGCAACAGTGTGGTTCAAATATAAAAGACAGCTTGGAAATTACGACAAAAAGAGTTAAGATATTAATAGTATAAAATAATAAGTAGTTTATCGTAGTCGTAGATAATAGGCAGTAAAACATCATATTTTTTTTAAATAGGCTACAATTTGGTAGTTTTTTTTTCTGTTTGGAATGCATTATAAAAAGTTATCATCTCACAACTCATCGTTATTAATAAATTAACGCGTTATTTATACTACGAAAATTGATGTTCAAATAAAGGCAGAGGTAAGATCAACAGCGACTATAAATAACGAAGGCATTGTATCATTGTATCCTTAACCAAGTTTCGAGACACATTGTTTTATGCACAATCAAATACTTGATGAATGACTTTATACTGTATATTTCAGGCTGTTCATCAGACTATGAACAAGGCGTGTAAATGTCATGGCGTGTCCGGAAGCTGTTCTATCCAAACGTGTTGGAAGCAATTGGCGGAGTTTGGTAGTGTTGGTTCGTTACTCAAAAAGAAGTTCGAAAACGCGGTACGTGCAGATTTCGTCAGCGGTGCTTCGTCAAATGAAGGAAACATGGCCCATCCTGAGTTCATCGGTGTTAGCAAGAAGGAGCTAGTGTACCTTGATACGTCACCTAACTACTGCCTGGCAAACACAACCGCAGGAATTACTGGTACCGAGGGAAGAGAATGCATCCGAGGCAAGGGAAACGATGATGACCTGTCCAAGTGGGAGAAGAAAAGCTGCAAGCGAATCTGCTCAAGTTGTGGATTGAGTGTTAAGAAAACCAAGGTTATTCGCAAGTCGAGTTGTAACTGCAGCTTCCAGTGGTGTTGTAACGTTAAATGTGATGAGTGCGTCGAGGAGGTAACAATCCTGACTTGCTCTAGGAAAACCACATAGTTAAACTTTTTATCTAGAGAAAATTATGTAGGTTTGCCGTATGCTGCGGTATTATTTCTTGCCCTTGAAGCAAAGTTTGTAAGTAATACATAGTCTGTATATCTATAAAAAAAAAATATAATGCCATGTTTTTTAAGCTAAACCATTACCTTTATCTTGATTCATATGCACAGGCAATTTGTCGTTGTCATGCCAATTTGTGATGTCTACGCTTTTTATTATTTCAAGATAATGCCAGTTTAAGACAAACAATCAAGCTAGCAATAAAGACATTAAAATGATATATTTTTTAATAGAGTGGTTCATCGGCACTGTCATATACTACGTTGTTGTGGCGAACTATTTCTATTGTGATGTATATATTTTCCTTGTATATTATTAAATTATATGAACATTGAATTTCTGTGTTTGGTTTATTGTGTTGGATGTAGGTCTTATAGGAATATATGGTGACGGTGATGCTTGATGATGATGGTAATGATACGCAAAATATCATAATTAACAGTAAAAAGACGAGAGGTTTATGTTGTGTTGATGGAAAATGATGTTACTGATAATGATGATAGTTTTCACAATGATCAATACGAATTTATTCCATTTCCAAAACAATACAATGAGAACAAGTTATCAAATCAAAAATTAATTGGAAAAGGGCCGGCAAAATAAGCTCAGAGCCAATTATTAGAGCTTAACAATAACAAAGAATAACAATCACAACCACAATCAAAGCGTTCACAATATAACAATACAATACACAGACTTCATAAAACAGCACAACCACAAGACAAAAGAAATATGCAGTTGTACTTAAAAACCAGCCACTCCTAAACGAAAAATATAAAAAAATCATTATAATAAAATAATTAAAGAAATGCCGTTAAATATTAAAATGGTGTAAAACACTGTAAAACAATTTGATGTAAAACTAGAATTTAAGAATTTAAAAGCTTTAACGATAACATGATTGATTACAATATTGAAATGGTTTGTGCGTTTAGAATAAGTGGGGGGGGGGTGGGGAGCTGGTAATTGTCAGCGATGAACTGACGCTGGTCGATGCTTATTCTTCCGACACTGATTCTAAACTACTTCCTCCACTGATGAACATCGATGTTATTTCTGCAAACCTGACGGTGGTGATTGACAGTCGGTTCGGCTTGGCGGCGTCATAATTTAACTTTACTTCATCGAGTGGGAAAGGCTAAGTTTGTTTGTTTGTTTATTTCAATTTTTCCACACATAAATAATATTTCAAAATACAATTCATTTTTAATCAAATTAACAGATAATTGTATAACAGTATTTGAAATTAAATATTAATGATGGCAATCGCATTTCATTCAATAAGTATAAATGCATGCATGTGTGGATGGAGTTCATTATAAGTTCAGTAAACTTCAGCTATGAACACCAGTAAAACATATCAACAATAACATATTCGGAGTATAACGTTAACAAAATAAATAACAATCATCAATAACGATATCAAAACAATAAATCAATGTTTAATTGCAGTAAGTAAAGAGAGAGAGAGAAAAAAAAGAATATTAATCTATGGTCCCCTAAATATATTTTAACATATCATATTTATATTAAAATGAAATAAGACAGCAACATTTTAATACAGTCCATAAATTGCACTGTAAGGATATTGGAATGGAGCCTGCAGCACACAGTTGGCCTAAAATTGTTAATGTGTTGAGCAAGGTCGCGTATGCAGTGGCGTATCTAAAATTCTTGGGAGTGCTGATGGGAGAGCAAGGTGAAGTGGTGGAGGGGGTGGGGCTCGATTATCAGCATTTGTTTTGGGTGCACGTATGGGACTGTCGGCTGTGCAACGAAGCTTCATGTAGAATGCTACTGGGGTCCTTTCACAGTATGACAATGAAACAGTAGGCCTATAGGTGGATCGAGCCCTATAGTCAAGATGAAACACTGATCGCACTTTTGCCTAACTATAGATAATTTATGCTAACTTGCTATCATTTCACAGAATGTATGAGTGGACCTATTTACATTTAATCAATATCGTAATCTGGTGTCTTACTATAATATAACGATGATTACATTTCTGAATTGCTGATATAAATTATCTTGTAATTTTCTTCCATAATCCGCTCTTTACGTTCCCAGTGTGTAAGGGGCAAGAATGGAAATTGTCCAGTCCAGTATTAGTGGTGGCGCCAGCTGGAGGGGCAGAGGGACTCGTCGGACGGGCCTCAAAATAAAAATAAAAAAATAATTTGCCTATATATCCAAATAACGTTATTTTGACTGCCAATATAAAATAAAAGCACATTTTGGACCACACTAAGCCAGGAAAAAAAAAAACCTGTCTCTTATACACATCTAGATGTAAATAAGAAAGCAACATTTTAATACAGTCCATAAATTCCACTGTAAGTTGGCCTAAAATTGTTAATGTGTTGAGCAGGGTTGCGTATGCAGTGGCGTATCTAAAATTCTTGGGAGTGCTGATGGGAGAGCAAGGTGAAGTGGTGGAGGGGTGGGGGTGGGGGCTCGATTATCAGTTGAGGGACGCTAATTCGCAAAATAAGCATTTGTTTTGGGTGCACGTATGGGACTGTCGGCTGTGCAACGAAGCTTCATGTAGAATGCTACTGGGGTCTTTTCACAGTATGACAATGAAACAGTAGGCCTATAGGTGGATCGAGCCCTATAGTCAAGATGAAACACTGATCGCACTTTTGCCTAACTATAAATAATTTATGCTAACTTGCTATAATTTCACAGAATGTATGAGTGGACCTATTTACATTTTATCAATATCGTAATCTGGTGTCTTTACTATAATATAACGATGATTACATTTCTGAATAGTTGATATAAATTATCTTGTAATTTTCTTCCATAATCCGCCCTTTACGTTCCCAGTGTGTAAGGAGCAAGAATGGAAATTGTTCAGTCCAGTATTGGTGGTGGCGCCAGCTGGAGGGGCAGAGGGACTCGTCGGACGGGACTCAAAAATAAAAATAAAAAAATAATTTGCCTATATATCCAAATAACGTTATTTTGACTGCCAATATAAAATAAAAGCACATCTTGGACCACACTAAGCCAGAAAAAATCTCTTCTCATGAACCCCATAAGGGAGTTTTATTCCGGGCCGTCGACCGAGGTTTCGGCGGCCCTCCCTTGGCTCGGACCCCTCCGTCGGACATGTCGAACCCCTTGTCGGCAAATTTCTGGCGCCACTGTACAGGATTCCATTGGACTATGAGAAGCACGTTTTGATTGGAGGCCCGGATTTTTTCCCAAGAGCTGGGACTTAATTATACCATCATGTTTGAATCATCATTGAAGCGTGAACAGCCAATGGTACCCTCCTCCTCCGCCCATCGGATAAGTATGAACCGCCCGACGAGATCGTAGACACCAAAGATCTTGAATCTTTTACTCTGTACATGTTTGACGGACGTGAGTTTTTAAACTGCCTATTATTTCTTACAGGAAGTTATACAAAATATTCGGTCACGGTTGCGGCTTTTGTATTGTATGTAAGCTAGGCTGTATTTCCGCGTTTGTAACCTCATTGATTGAGATTGTAACGTAAAGGTAATTTATTTTAGAAGGAAGAATGTTGGAGCGCTGGAGCCGTAGGTCTAATGTGATAATCATCGTTCTTTTTTTACATAAATTTTATAAACCAGCAACGTCCCAGTGCCCTAGGTAAGTACTTCGGTAGTTGTATAGGCATATTCCAGAGAGAAATTAGATATGTCGGATTGGACGGCTAAGTCCATTATCATCATCATCATCATCGCTATCATACTGTGATTGTATATTGTTAGTAGGCCTATATTGTACTAGTGATTTATCAATGTTTATACAAAACAATGTGTTCTTCCTGTGAAAATGAATAATACTTAAAACATAATGGATACAGTATTGTAACCTAATCTATTGTATGTGGGGAAGTACTGTAGAGAAACCATTCGAGGCTAGGACACGACTACTTGATCAACTTGTAGGCCTACTGTTCTACCATCTATTTTATTTTCTCCATGGTTCTACCAGTACCAGGAAGGTATATTATACCTATCTTGTACAACAATGGCTATTTGATCTTAATCAATATCCGGATTCTATATTATTAAGACAATATTCTATTATCTTAATACAGTTTACCCTCCCATTCGAGACCACTTTGAGACCTGACAATTTTGGGTGGTCTCGGGGCTCGGTCTCCATTTAGAGGGTTAGCTTACGCGTTAAAAGACGTACAATTGTTACGGTATTTGGTTATTTGAAAAAGTGGTCTCTAATTAGAGGCTTATTGGAATGAGAGGGTCTCGAATTGGAGGGTTATAGCACAGATATTGATAACATTTATTATTGTAAAATGTAACACGAATAGACATCTATTCAACACGATTTCATCAATATTTGATTGACAGCTGAAATGGTAGCTGAATTACATCAAATTTACAATCGAAAACACTAACAGACAAACAAAACAATACAATTCAATACACACAACGTACACTAAAATTATCAGGTAGGGGAGAGTGGGGCAAACGGAGAGTGGGGAAAACGGAGAGGCTAAGACATTTTCTTAAATATTTGTCACAAAAATGAAGATATGGAACCATACATCGGTTAGCTAAACACTTAAATATATCATGCATCATAAACACATAGTAAAAAAATAATTATTATAAAGCATGCATAGCCTATGTGAATAAAACCATGACTTTTCAAAAATGCCCATGTGGGGGAAAATGGTCCGCCTATTGAATAACATAGGTAACAGAATTTTCTCATAAAATGTTAATTTATCTTCTCAAACAGGGCCTATTATGTAATTATACTATTTTATTATATTGTAAGCAATTATTAGACAATGATAATTGTAGAGACATAATATAGCAGTTGACAATAATTACCATAACCGTTTTGCCCCACATCGATGACATGCTTCCGCCGCCTTGCCACACTAATAACAATGGCAAGCATAGACTTCTTACATTGAATATACACCTAAATACATTTAGGTTACCTAAGTACATACCGGTACACATTTATTGTCCATTTAAAAAAAATAAAAAATCAACCGTTTAAATTACTACCTCTATTTAGATCACGGCGACACCCACACCACAGAAACGCCCGGTATATTGCAACAGGGCGCTATAAATCATCAACATCAAGCGATGTAAATATCGGTGGAGCTATGGCCTAGTTCCCGAACTTTCAAAATTCCGTTTTGGCCCGCTACTCCATTTTGCCCCACTCTCACCTGCGAAGCTATTAAAATATCTAAATATACACAAGTAAAAGGGAAATATTAAAATTGGGGAAAATGAATAAAAATGTAGGAGACGAAATAAACGTACATCCAGACACGCACAAAAACACATTAACTTTAAAAATACTGCACGACAGACCACTCAAATTGAGAAATTCAGTTATTTAAGAAATTGACAATCATGGAACATTAAACATTATTTCACAAATTGATAATTAAATAACATTAAATATTATTAGCATGTTAAATATTTTAAATTGATTTGCACAAGAGTTACGAATAAAGTATCAACTGCCTGAACAGATTGCAAGTAAATTTGAATTATAATTAAATTAAAAAAACAATATAAATAAATATTGCAAGTATAGGTCAACTGAACTGAGAGGGATACCGGTAGTTTACGGTAAATGTTAATTATTGTTTAATAAGCAGATCTGTTAAATAAGGTATCACAGCTAATGTGCCTAGTTGTAACTTTTTCTTGGCAGTGGATTGTCATGTAAGTCAAACACGGATTGTTATCTGATATTTTCAAAAGATGGCAAGTATCATAATGCGAAAAGTACCGATAATTCAGGTAATGGTAAAGAGGGTTGACATTGTGGATAAATTGGAGGTGGGACGGAGGTGGTGGTGGTGAGGGGGAGGGGGGAGATGGAACTTTTATTTTATTAATAACGTTATGATGATGATGACGACGACGACGACGAAGATGATGATTATGATGATGATGATGATGATGATGATGGTGATGATGGTGATGATGATGATGATGGTGATGATGGTGGTGATGAGATGATGATGATAAAGAGGGGGAAAGAACACGGCCTTTTTAACCACCCAGTGTAATTTCAACTGGGTACGCAATTGAACTCCTTTGTGTAGAGTTGCAACGTAATAGTAGGCCTAAGGTACATTGCTCAAGGACACTACACGAAATTCAAAGAAAGTGCTCGAGAACCTCACATGGAGGTCGAAAAAACCTAAACGCAACCGCTGCACCTGACCAGCCGCATCATTATGTTACCATAAATTATATTTTCCACAGCGAAAAAGGCCCGGTCGTCAGACGAATGTTACACATTTACTAGGAAAGATGAGGCGCCCGAACCATGCTCTGATACTCGAATAGAGTGCATTGATCAAGGGGGAACGATTGTGAATATCACCAACATTGAACAATATGAAGGTTTAATGAATGAAGTGCTTCATATATTAAAAGTAGGATCCAAGGTGACGTTCAATGTACTCCAGAATATAAAACAAGGAGAGCAATGTGCATACGTGAATATACAGGATGGTTTGATTTGGAATTCGGATAAAATAATCCCAAAACACGCCGATACTAACACCACTGTGAATGCAGTACTGTGCGAGCAAACAGGTACGGTAGTAGTGTCCGGTTATATGTTTTGTTTTAGGACCTGGGGCAGGATAATGCAGATTGTTTTGTCTATCAGGGGATCATTTAAACAACAAATTCGTGACCTGACTGGGTTGATAATGCCGTTTTAAAAATTTATCGGAGGTTTATTATTTTTTATATTCGTCCCGAGTGTCTTCCAGTATCGTTGGGATAAATAAAATTATAATTAAACAAATCCAGAAGGATGAAGAAGCCGAAGGGGATACCATGTTCATTTTGTAGTTTTCTTTATCACTCGGTGCATGCTTTGAATTGCCAATGTTCTGGCCGGAATATTGCAAAACAAGGCTAATTTTTAGAACAATGTATTAATTTTGACAGATGCATTGATATATTCATCGACCATCTCAACCTTAACATCATCGACCATCTCAACCTTAACATCATCGACCATCTCAACCTTAACATCAACTTTTGGTTCTCAGACCACCGACCACCTAACTAATCAGATTTCCGATATTACATCTATAACACCAGTACAAAACCAACAAACAGGAAAAACAGATAGGATGCGAACACCCATCGTCATCGTGGTAGTCTGCGGCATTATAATCCTTTTACTGGTATTCGTCGGATTCGCATATTCTAAAGTAAAAAAAAGGAAGATAAATAACGAAAGGTATTTAAAACTATTATTTTTGGCATTATTACGAGAGTAAACCATATTCTGTAAAGGGGTAGGCCTATCATTATTTTTTGAATGCGCCTTCAGCGACATATTAAGTATGAATCACATCATTAGTAGGCCGGGGCTATTCACAATCCAATGGATTTGTATCATTAAAATTTGAGAGAACTATTCCGTTTTTAAGTAGTCCTACTAACAATCGTATAACACACAGCTAACCCTCTAATTCGAGAGAACCTCATGACCACTCTGCATTTTCTGGACCAAAATATTGGAATTAAAGGACCACATAGGCCTACTCGTTGTATCAAGGGATTAAAAGAGATTCAAGGTTTATTTATTGGTCAAACACAAATTATAATATAAACAAACATTACATTTTGTCTAAAATCTACAAAAGACTATAACATAACTATAACATATTTTGCGCTAGAATTATATAAATTTTAAAATTTGACCTTTGTATTGTCTGTTATGGCGACGGAATATTTTATCGTTCTTTATTACCAATTAAAAGCATATACTGAACTAAAAACAGTATTTGCATAACACGACAGAGACGCAAGCCCATGCTAAGCAAAATAAAAGAGTCGTTATCAAACACCATGTCATTTTAATAACGACGAATTTTACAACGTACATTAGCAAAACAGAGGTAGGGGCAGCCGCTCACAGATAGTCATACTGTAATGTACTGTGCTGCCCCTAAAGGCTTATTAACTATAAGGACTTATTGTAAACAAAATAGCATACACATAATACATATGCATCCAAATGATGCATTAACATTCAGTTAAGCATACATGAACATTACAATACTACGATAGAAATATTATACATTATAGTATTGTATTGGAAACGTTGCTTAATTCATAGTGGAATAAAATGCAAATACTTTACATGGTGATTAAGGGGTAATTCAAGTATTATGTAACGCAGAGGGGTGGGGGTATAGTGGAAAATGTTACAGTGTGTGACATAGGGGTGGGGGTGTTGCTTGAATTGTTACATAACAAAATTAATTTTCATGGGAAGAGAAGAAATATTAAATATTCAAACTTGTATGATATTACTTTATTGAAACATATTACATCAGTGTAACACAATGTAATGTAACACAGATGTGTTGAATTTGTGAAATCAATAAACAATGAAGTTACATCTACCATATCAAAAAATAACAAAACATCCTACAAATTTGTAGTGTAAGACAAATTTGTAGTGGAGGACATTTATCCTGATACTTAATGTTGTTCATCTGATTTTATTAAAATTGTTGATGTTCGGAAGGGGGTGGGGGTGGTTATAGAGTTACATAACATTTAGAGGAGGTTTGGAAAAGTGTTACAAAGTGTTACGGGGGCGGGGTGTCAATATTTGCCAAAAAATGTGTTGCATAATACTTAAATGACCCCAAAGTACACCAGAAAGTGTTGGGTGTCAAACGCCCCAAAGCCCATCAGCATGATGCCACCCAAACCAGCAAGGAAATTCATATGTTTTTGATTTAGGAACAGGCGTAAGAAAGATGCCAAAATAGACTGTACAACTCAACCTGCACTAGCTGAATATCCTTTCATTAAAAACGTCTAAATTAAAATCCTAATCAGGGGCGGATCCAGGATTTTAGAGAGGGGGTTCAAAATGTTCCAAAAAAACAAAAAATGAAAGGGTTTTCCGAGGGTTCTCCACTGGAAAATTTTGATTACTAAATGGCAGGAAATGAGCTTTCTCGACTTTTGAGGAGTCTTTTAATGACCTTTCAGTTCTTCAAAATTCAAGGTTATCCCCACTCCCTCCTGAAAAAGGTCAGGTAATTTTATCTCATTCTTTAGGCATATACATAGACGAAAAAAATCAGAGACATAGGCAATATATTATTATATTCCAACAATGTATCGATGAACCGATATGCCCGAAGAACGCACATTCGTACATAAACTATTACGACGTCGAACCAAAAACAGCGTGTTAATTTATTTAATTGAAGACTAGTTGGGCTAAGGCCACATAAAATTTTTTTATTAGTTTATCACCCCCTCCCTCCTCATTTTTGGGGAAATTATGGTTTTAATTTTTTTTAATTTTTTTGGGTTTTTTTTGTTGTCAATCAACATATATTTTTTATTTCAATCTTTTTTTCACTTGAAAAGCTCAGGATTTTTTAGCAAATATGTTTATTGGTACAACAAAAACATATTTTTTGAATATAAATTTGATTCCACTCTTATAAATTTTTATATATATGTCCCTAACAATTGATTTACTTGTGAACATCGGTAAAATGGGGGCGAGGTTGGCAAAAAAAAACAACCTTCCTCCCTCATCAGTTTTTATTCTTACATAGGGTGATAAACTAATAATTTTTGTATGTGTGCACTATAAAGAACCCAGTACATCCTTCGAGTTGAGTAGGGGATACGCTGGTGTACTGGACAAACAGCCCCTGTGGTGGACGACGAGTTGCTGATACCGGGTTACCGGGTAGCACAGACAAGAAGGGACCCTTAAGGGGCGAAGAAAGTCATTGACCGAGTTCCTAGTCCATGTATCAAGCGCCCTGAGCATCTTACATTAGATGGATATGTACGCTATATAAAAATACACTATTATTATTATATTATTATTACCCATTTATACTCCTGGGTAGAGAGCAGCAATGTAGATAAAGTGTCTTGCTCAAGGACACAAGCGAAATGTAATTTGTGAAAATATAATAAAACTGGACACTACAATATTTTCCCTTTTTATACGGATTGAATAAAAGTATATATAATTAAAGCAGTACACGAAAATTTAATTAAAACTACTCCAGTATTAGTTAGGACTAACTTCACCATTCAAATATAAAGTTATAAAAGTATATGCATCCCCAATTACATGTTTGTATAAAAAACAACTTAGCATAATGTAAAAATTAGCTTTTTACCCAAAGGTGGCAAAAGACCGGGTGGCAACGGGCCTAGGTGGCAACATGCCTAGGGTGGCAAATGGCCGGGTGGCGAAAGGCCGGGTGGCAACTGGCCTATGATGGCAAAAGGCCGGGTGGCAGAAGGCCGGGTGGCAAAAGGCCGGGTGGCAAAAAGCCGGGTGGCAAAAAGCCGGGTGGCAAAAAGCCGGGTGGCAAAAAATCGGGTAGCAACGGGCCGGGTGGCAAAGGGCCGGGTGGCAACTAGCCAGGATGGCAACGGGCTGGAACCCCGAACCCACTGCACCAAACCGATTCTTATATTTTACTACAATAATGTCCATCACTATGATCATTATGATGATGATAATATCTATAACATAACTATAACATATTTTGCGCTAGAATTATATAAATTTTAAAATTTGACCTTTGTATTGTCTGTTATGGCGACGGAATATTTTATCGTTCTTTATTACCAATTAAAAGCATATACTGAACTAAAAACAGTATTTGCATAACACGACAGAGACGCAAGCCCATGCTAAGCAAAATAAAAGAGTCGTTATCAAACACCATGTCATTTTAATAACGACGAATTTTACAACGTACATTAGCAAAACAGAGGTAGGGGCAGCCGCTCACAGATAGTCATACTGTAATGTACTGTGCTGCCCCTAAAGGCTTATTAACTATAAGGACTTATTGTAAACAAAATAGCATACACATAATACATGCATCCAAATGATGCAATAACATTCAGTTAAGCATACATGAACATTAAAATACTACGATAGAAATATTATACATTATAGTATTGTATTGGAAACGTTGCTTAATTCATAGTGGAATAAAATGCAAATACCTTACTTTACATAGTGATTAAGGGGTCATTCAAGTATTATGTAACGCAGAGGGGGGTGGGGGTATAGTGAAAAATGTTAGAGTGTGTGACATAGGGGTGGGGGTGTTGCTTGAAGTGTTACATAACAAAATTAATTTTCATGGGAAGAGAAGAAATATTAAATATTCAAACTTGTATGATATTACTTTATTGAAACATATTGCATCAGTGTAATACAATGTAATGTAACACAGTTGTGTTGAATTTGTGAAATCAATAAACAATGAAGTTACATCTACCATATCAAAAAATAACAAAACATCCTACAAATTTGTAGTGTAGGACAAATTTGTAGTGGAGGACATTTATCCTGATACTTAATGTTGTTCATCTGATTTCATTAAAATTGTTGATGTTCGGAAGGGGGTGGGGTGGTTCTAGAGTTACATAACATTTAGAGGGGGTTTGGAAAAGTGTTACAAAGTGTTACGGGGGCGGGGGTGTCAATATTTGCCAAAAAATGTGTTACATAATACTTGAATGACCCCTAAGTACACCAGAAAGTGTTTCGGTGTCAAACGCCCCAAAGCCCATCAGCATGATGCCACCCAAACCAGCAAGGAAATTCATGTTTTTGATTTAAGAACAAGCGTAAGAAAGATGCCAAAATAGACTGTACAACTCAACCTACAGTAGCAGAATATCCTTTCATTAAAAACGCCTAAATTAAAATCCTAATCAGGGGCGGATCCAGGATTTTAGAGAGGGGGTTCAAAATGTTCCAAAAAAAAACCAAAAATGAAAGGGTTGTCCGAGGGTCCTCCCTTGGAAAATTTTGATTACTAGATGGCCGGAAATGAGCTTTCTCGACTTTTGAGGAGTCTTTTAATGACCTTTCAGTTCTTCAAAATTCAAGGTTATCCCCCCTCCCTCTTGAAAAAGGTCAGGTAATTTTATCTCATTTTTTAGGCATATACATAGACTAAAAAATCAGAGACATAGGCAATATATTATTAGATTCCAACAATGTATCGATGAATCGATATGCCCGAAGAACGCACATTCGTACATAAACTATTACGACGTCGAACCAAAAACAGCGTGTTAATTTATTTAATTGAAGACTAGTTGGGCTAAGGCCCCATAAAAACAATTATTACTTTATCAACCCTTCCCTCCTCAATTTTGGGGAAATTATGGTGTTTTTCTTTTTCTCAACATATATTTTTTTATTACAAACGGCCGTTTTTCCATCTTTTTTCACTTGAAAAGCTCAGGATTTTTTGCAAATATGTTTATTGGTACAACAAAAACATATTTTTTTGAATATAAATTTGATTCCATTCTTATAACTTTTTTATATATATGTCCCTAACCATTGATTTACTTGTGAACATCGGTAAAATGGGGGCGAGGTTAGCAAAAACAAAAAAACAAAAAAAAAAAAAACAACCTCCCTCCCTTATCAGTTTTTATTCTTACATAGGGTGATATACTAATATTTTTTTTATGTGTGCACTATAAAGAACCAAGTACATCCTTCGAGGCGAGGGGATACCCCAGTGTACTGGAACAGACAGCCCCTGTGGTGGACGATGAGTGTTGCTGGTACCGGGTTACCGGGTAGCACAGACAAGAAGGGACCCTTAAGAAAGCTATTGACCGAGTTCCTAGTCCATGTATCAAGCGCTCTGAGCATCTTACATTAGATGGATATGTGCGCTATATAAAAATACACTATTATTATTTTAATATTATTACCAATTTATACTCCTGTGTAGAGAGCAGCAATGTAGATAAAGTGTCTTGCTCAAGGACACAAGCGAAATGTAATTTGTGAAAATATAATAAAACTGGACTACAATATTTTCCCTTTTTATACGGATTGAATAAAAGTATATAAGCCTATAATTAAAGCAGTACACGAAAATTTAATTGAAACAATTTCTACTCCAGTATTAGTTAGGACTAACTTCACCATTCAAATATAAAGTTATAAAAGTATATGCATCCCCAATTACATATTTGTGTAAAAAACAACTTAGCATAATGTAAATATTAGCTTTTTACCCAAAGGTGGCAAAAGACCGGGTGGCAACGGGCCTATGATGGCAAAGGGCCGGGTGGCAGAAGGCCGGGTGGCAAAAGGCCGGGTGGCAAAAAGCCGGGTAGCAACGGGCCGGGTGGCAAAAGGCCGGGTGGCAACGAGCCAGGATGGCAACGGGCTGGAACCACGGTCCCACTGCACCAAACCGATTCTTATATTTTACTATAATAATGTCCATCACTATGATCATTATGATGATGATAATATTAAATAATAATCATTAATAATAACAATAGGGGCCTAATATTAATGATAATAATTAATTAATATTTGAGACTTTTTATGCTCATGCCTGTGTACTATGACTTAAATTATAGAATGCATGTTCCTTAGATTGGTCAAACCTAAATTCGATTTATAGGCCTCTATTATTATAAATTAACGAAATATATTATTCTTATCGTTTTGAATTATTCGATTGAACGTGGGCCTATTATTTGCTGTAATAAGTATTTTTGCTTTATTTCCAAGGGCTCAGAATACGTTGGAGATGACTACAAATGCATGTAAGTTCAAATATACTTTAATTGTATCCTGTTATTGGTTTTTGGATTTGTTTTCATATTAAGTATAACTGTATTTTACTATCTACAATTTTGCCATTTTAATGTATATTTTATCTATATGGAACCTTTTTAAAGATTTTATTGACCTGCTGAAAAGTTACTCACTTCCATTTCCACATTGAACAAATAAATTCTGAATCTGAATTATAAAATTATTATCATTTTTATTTATATTGTCATAGGCTATATTTACTATTATATTGTTATTATATTAGAGGCCTATTACGTATTACTTTCTTGATCATTAACATTATCATCACAAGCATCATCATCATCATAGTCATACACATTTTATTTTCTTTCTTGTCATTATTATAATTATTTTAGATAGACAAACACACACCCAGACAGACAGACATACAGTATAGATAGATAGATAACTGTATTGTCCTCGTAGTAAAATACAAATATGCCTAAGGAAATTCATCTTCTATTTAATTGGCAAATGTTAAAAAAAATAATTACACAAGTGCAAGAAGACGACAACAAATTTATAATAATGCGACAGCAAAAAAGACGATATAATAAACAAAACATTTAGTATAAAATTGGGTCATTCAATGATTATGTACATTATACAAATAGGTCTATATCAATAGTATTTTCAACATTATTGTAGTTATATCGTATCATTTGTACTTATACTTTCTCAGGTAGATATTCCAATATCGATGTTTACAATGATGTTTCTCAGACCAACATTCACAATGATAACAGTACAACGCGTAATGTGGCGCCTGGTGATACCTACACGTATGTTGCAACTGAAATTCAATCTGTGACGCCACAGCCTGAAATACAGGATACGATTGGCAGAAACTACGAGCAACCACTTTTGGAGGACGAAATGCACGCTAACGTTCAAGCTGATGCAGTTGTAGAGACAGACGACTGTGAATACGATAAATTAAACCGGTCACGCGCAGTAACCTGTGCAGGAGATCATGACGATACGTATAACAGCCTCAATGAAGATGCTGGTGACACGGGGCATTATGATTGTCTCCAACGATCCAACATTCACAATGATAACAGTACAACGCGTAATGTGGCGCCTGCTGATACCTACACGTATGTTGCAACTGAAATTCAATCTGTGACGCCACAGCCTGAATTACAGGATACGATTGGCAGAAACTACGAGCAACCACTTTTGGAGGATGACATGTACGCTAACGTTCAAGCTGATGCAGTTGTAGAGACAGACGACTGTGAATACGATAAATTAAACCGGTCACGCGCAGTAACCTGTGCAGGAGATCATGACGATACGTATAACAGCCTCAATGAAGATGCTGGTGACACGGGACATTATGATTGTCTCCAACGATCCTACAGAAAATAGGCTGTCACCTAACCAATAAAACTATCGACCACAGTATTTAACTGGTGTAATAATTACTTACTATTAATACGTTAAAATTCAATCAAGCCAAAAAAATTAGTGAAACTCATATTTTCCATCAGTAACATACACAGCGCCTTTGATATACCATGGTCGTTTAATTGGCGCTTAATGTTCCAATATTATTATTTAGAACACCCTAATATCCTACAGAAGTCAACACATTTGTACATGATAAGCCTATTGAGTATGTATACCCCGTGTATGTGCCTGCCTGCGATGGTTGGTAGGCCAAATATAAGACTGGCTATCCGGCTATCGTCGACTTATTTGGGATGCTGATTGGTCAATTGAATCAGGGAGCGTATCCCAATTTCTTTTCCCGTAGGCTACGCAGTGCAAGGTTTGCAGTGAAAGCATCTGTGTAGCGATTCTATGGAAACAAGGGTTAACGAAAAAATTAAAAGAATTGCGTTACGTATGAAATATCGGCAACGTTTTACCTTTCATTTCATTTCATTTTAGTTCTCATTCACTTTTATTTCACACATTGTCCATATAAAATACAAAAATAAATACCAGTATAAGTACATGACGTACAGAGTACACAAAACTTTGTCATAGTTTAATATGTTTACTTTAAGAATAATATAAAATTGATTTATTGAAAAATTAGTTAAATGTTCTTTCTGAGTCGTAGTGGTTAACTATTAATAATTATGAAAATGGACGTTTTTACTGTTGTTATGTATAGAAAGTATTTCGAATAGGCCTAATTGCTTTAATCTGACTGTTAGTAATTTTAAAATTTTAACTTGAAACTTTATTTTTAGCAATTTAATTTTTTTTTTGTCTTTTTTGGGGTATCCCACTTCTAGTTCTTTTCGTAGTTATCATTACATAATTTGCAATTTTATTAGTTTTATGCAGTATTAAAAAATATTAGAGAGAGCATCTTAGCTCAGTCGGCTAAACAGGTGGTAGACACTGGGCACGAGCTGATTTTTTTTATTACTGTTTTCCTTTTTTCTTTTCTTTTTTGTGTGAAAATGAGACAAGCTCTGCTTCTGTGTTTGATCCCGATCAATCAAATAATGAATTAATAGATTGTATTTTTGTTCCTTTCATGTTTGTTTGTGATTAATCTGTGATTGACTTTGTGATTAACTAAATTAACTGTGATATGAATGAAGCTTCAGAGTATGTCATTTTAATCTCTAGATCATTTCAAACTTGGTTAATAGACTGCTGCTGGGGGTTGGGGATACAAGCGTCCCTTACCACCACTAGATCCGCCACTTCTCTTCATTTCAGCCCGGATAGACAGACGGAAAATACTAAGAGTCATGTAAAAGCAGGAGGCTACAGGCACTAGTCCAAGTAGCCTGGATTCCAGATCCTAATTTTTGGTTACTCAATTTTTATTGCACTTAATGCGCGCCATACCAAATTTAATTTGCGTCCGATACTCGATTAAGACTCAACCGAAAATAAAATTGTAATAACTTAACTTTATTCGCTCGTTGGCGGCGCTGTCTAGAATTAAAAAAACTATAACAAAGGACTTGTGGCAAGTCTACAGTCCAAGTTATCCTGCCCCATCAAGTGGACATCAGCGTCACAATAAACTATGAAAATTAACTTTTACTACCCACCCTAACAAGAATGATAAGCAATCAAAGATGATCAACAATTATGATTGAAAATTTCCGTTTAAGAGAGATTGGTTCAAAATTGTATCAAAACCCAACGTTGTAAATAAAACAAGTTTATAAACATGAAAAGAAACTTGGCGTGTGTTAACTGTTTACATGCTTAATGACTATCCTCTAAAGAGAAAATTCATTAAATACATAATTTGGTATCGTTACTTGTTTAGGTCCACTTAAATAAAATATTATATGTCAAACATAAGTTTAAGCAAGATAATGTACACAATGTATATTTCTGCATTAACCTACTTTTCAATCTGTATTGGTGACGTCAATAAAAGCGCTGTTTGACCTCTTCCTACGTTCACCATTTTGTGACCTAAATGACACGTTGATCGTCTGCTGTTAAGAATGACAGAATGAATATTGTGCGAAAATCTAGAAACCTATAGTTATACATTAAGATGTACATAGAAAATGATATGAATATTTATTTGAACACGTAGGCATATTAATATATATATATATACATATATATATACATATATATATATGTATATATATATATATATTTATAGGGGAATATGTTGAATCGTTGATTTAAATTAATTAGTGAAATTATTTAAGAATTTATTATAATCTGTTAATTATTTTTAATCACTTTTTTCTTCAACCGTGTGGCGTCTACAATTAGACAGACACAGTTGATCCGTTATTAAAATGTCCTTTAATTTTAATATTGCTATTATCAACATTCTTATTAGATGTTTACTTTGTGTGGTTCGATATTTGTATTTTTTTGTATAAAAATATACTTTTTATACGAGTTTCAGTGTCTTATAACTTAAATTATTTGTAAAGAACAAATAATGGTTTTAATTTCATTGGTTTTATTTAGCAACCAAAGTATTTTAGGGCAGCAGGTGGATAGATGGCGCTATATAACTAATTTGATTATCACAACATTATACCGTAGTATCATATCATATATCCTATCATTAGATTCACTGTGTACTTTGTTTTTTTTTTTTTTTTTTTTTTTTTTTTTTTTTTGGCGAAAAGAATAAGAATAAGAACTATTTCAAATTAAAAAAAAAAGAAATAACAATTTGTCGCCTTTGTCTTATCAACAATTGTGTGTTGAATATTGTAACATAAATGTCAAAGCTTACAATGGGTTTTCTTTCACAACAGTTCTATTTTATAAAACTTATTTATTACAATTTATTTATACAGTATTGTAAAATATTTCTATTCAGAAACGTTTTATTCAAAAATATTAATATCATGCTAAATAGAGCCCACAAAAAACATGTGTCAAACCATAAAGCCAACATCTGTGCTAAGTTTTCAATAAATCTTTTCTACTGTCAAAATATGTTTTTCTAAGTGAACTGATGTCTCTTGTTAGCCAAGGTCAAGTGAGGAGGTGATACCGGGAGACGGATGCGGATAAGCCACACAATTTACAGGAACATGTATTGGACAAATGGAAGCAGCCGTGATTGCTGCACCACAAGTTGGAAGGCCGAACCAAACAATCGGATTTCCGTCCTAACCGGACATCGCAAAAGAGTTAAACTTGGGGGGGGGGGTCAGTATCGTACAAATTAATGAGAGAGGGGAATTGTTACATAAAATTGTAAAATATGCACTGATATACTAATTGATTTGACAAAAATGCAAATTTCAGAAAAAAAAATAAAGGTTTTTCTTTATTTTTATTACACCAGCAGCTACCTTAAAATCTCAAAATATAAGATATGTATTATATTTCTCCCTAATTATATAGGCCTAAATTTAAAGCATTTAACTATCCCATTACTGTTTTCATTCACCAGTAACATATTATTTTTATTTTTGCGAAAAAAGGTATAAAAAAAGTCTTGCCTTTGCTTCGTTATATTGAAAATAATAAACACTTCAAAAACTCATTATATAAACTTTTATTAACGTAGTAATTTTTTCCATGTTAGTGTTAAAAAAGCAAGTAAGTTATTGGCTTATTTAAGAAAATAACTGTCTGTCGCCCTCTAGTAGTTTACTTTTTTTTCACTGAAGATTAATGTTTGTTCATAGTCGTGTTTAAGCTTCAATACTTTACTTACTACAACGTTTTAATTGTAGAACTGTTTAATCGATAATAAATCAAGCACAATTTGCTAACATATAGACAAAAGCTCGTGGTAAGTTTACATCAAATTGTGCTTGACTTAGTATCGATTAAACAGTTCTACAATCATTATAAGCAAACCACTTAAAACTATTCAAATATTTACAACGTTTTAATTACTTATTCAATTCCATTTGCATGGACTGTATTACACTATAGTTACCAACTGTCTTGCATCATGCGGAACGGTCCAGTATTTTAAAGTCATTTTAGATGAAACACACATTTTGCCGAAACACATATGCGTGATCATAAAATTGTCATGCATGTAGTACAAGTCTATGCGTGATAACGAATTATCACGAATTCAGGGGAAATGTATTTAAAATACACTGACGCTTTTCCAAACATTGATCAGTATGCCTAGGCATAGACCTATTTATTTTTGTTTGTGTTGAGTAATGTAATGTTTGTGTATATAGGTTTAGTTCGGGTGCTCAAATTAATCATAGGCCTACATTGAAACTCAAATTGTACGTGACTTTATTAAAACATTTTTATTTATCCGGTAAAGTCATTTTAGATGAAACACACATTTTGCCGAAACACATATGCGTGATCATAAAATTGTCATGCATGTAGTACAAGTCTATGCGTGATAACGAATTATCACGAATTCAGGGGAAATGTATTTAAAATACACTGACGCTTTTCCAAACATTGATCAGTATGCCTAGGCATAGACCTATTTATTTTTGTTTGTGTTGAGTAGTGTAATGTTTGTGTATATAGGTTTAGTTCGGGTGCTCAAATTAATCATAGGCCTACATTGAAACTCAAATTGTACGTGACTTTATTAAAACATTTTTGTTTATCCGGTATTGTCAACAAACATTCCCTAAAATCGTTTTAAGCAGCTTAAAATGATAAGATCATCGGCCCCAACCGGGGCTCTCCCCTTCACCCCAACGAACCCTGCTAACCCAACCCCCCCATACCAAGCCATCTGGTGCAGTTACGCATTTTAAATCTCTCAGGTTCATAACTATGATTACATGTTTTAAAATAAATGCAATGGTGTTTGCTGGATAAGTGTTTATACTAAACCGATTTTATACTTTTTTCAAACCATGAGATGCATTTTGTAGTAAACGTCACTTATAATTTATTTAGTATCATTCGGTATGTTGAATTCGAATTTGCTGTTTGCGGTAAACTAATAATTATATAAATAGTGGAGGAGAGGTGTTATCTATCATTAAATATATTTTTTAAAAAGAAAAAAGAAGAATGACATTACAATCTACGATTTGTAAATTACTAATAAGTCGGACCGATTGTTGTTTGGTGATGCGAATTACATTTACTTGGCTATAACTTTCGACCGGCAAATCTATTATTGTTGAAAGTATATCTTAACTCATCTGCACAAGGTAGGTCTAACCAAGTTTAACTATAATTATTATAAACCTATTTAATGAGAATTTGTCATAAATTTGGACCAAATTTAATTAATCATACCATTTAAAATGGTTAGGCCTACCTATAAATATTAATAAATTAAATTATGAATATTTTTATTTATATTAGTTAATAGAAATTCAAGTAATAGTATAGCATACTGGATTTAGAAATCTAGAGTAAGAAGGATTGCTTCCCGACGATGTTAATTTAAATAGTTGTTAGTGTTTTATTGTTCTCTTTCATATTGCGTCATTTATACATTTTAGTGTGTTATGTAGGTTTTTGATGTGCTAAATTGTATTGTGATATTGTGATAATTTTTAATGTTCCAATTTTCTATTTAACCGTTAATGTATATTACATATCGAGTATGGATATTTTGTAAATTTATATTTTGAAAATTCTGTACAGCGTTTGTGATCATTTTAATTGGATATTGTTTGTGCTACTGTATATTAAATAAAGTTGTTATTATTATTATTATTATTATTATTATTATTATTATTATTATTATTATTATTATTATTATTATTATTATTATTTTTATTATTATTATTTTTATTATTATTATTATTATTATTTTTATTATTATTATTATTATTATTATTATTATTATTATTATTTTTATTATTATTATTATTATTATTATTATTTCCATTTCATTTTCATGTCAGCGGCTTTAGTCAACAATTTTTTCTTCTATTTATTGGGTATCAGTATATCACCTTGGCTGTCCCTCTCTTATTAAAAACTACAACTTCTTCAGATTTTTATTAACTGTAAAATTTTAATTGGAAAAATATCACCCTGTTTTAATGGCATTACGATATTCATGCTAAAAACATCCTCAATATACTTTATATAATTTTAAGTACGATTTTTCAACTCATCACTTTAATTTGA